TAAACATGTTTTCACTGAGGCTCTGTAAGAGCCATATGAATTAAATAAGTAATTATTGATATGACAGAAGCAGCGGCTCTGACACCTGGGTGGTGGTCGTGTCGATGTGAGCGTGACTGTCATCAAGTATGAATGGAAAGGTGTCTGGTGTGTTGACTTTGTGTGTATGAGGAACCGGGTGAGCGGGGTGATCAGTTCTTGCAAAGTTTGGAGCATGATGATCTAAATGGAATAAATCGATAATTGTGACAGAACAAAGAAGAGGATTGGAGTTGATTGATACATGGACAGATGAGGTTCCCTGAGTTAACCCAGTGCAGCCGTCTACCACCATTAGTTTGCTGTGTTTTATAATAATAAAAAGTGTTTATTATTATTAACTCTGGTGGAAAAACTGATTGAAAATCGATTAATTTACTGCATGTTTATGTCTGTTAAGGTTAAGATGGGACGGCACTGGAAGCAGCCCTTTAAACCATTCAGACTACGAACACAGTAGAGACACAATTAAAACTGTCTGATGACTTATTACCCCGCGATAATAACTCAGAAATAGTCCAAATAGTTTGGATGTATTTTTATTTCTTTCCTACTTACGGAAAGTTTCTGTTTATATCATAGGTTTGTTGTGCCTTTCTACACTAAAGAAAAAGATATAAAACGCCTGATATTTCACAACGAGATATTATCATTTACGTAAAAACCTTACATAACCTTGTATTAAAGCAGAAAGTACGGCTGCCACCGTAAGAAAGGCTTACAGTATTCAATTATGCTGCATGAACTGATCAGTACATTACTGCGAGGGAATGCAAAAAATTTGCAAGGGGATGCAAAAGAAAAAAAATTCCCCATGTCCCTTGGAGGGCTCCGTAATATTGAAAGAAATTGATTTGGAAAAAAAATATTTTGCCTGATTTTGTTATTGTTCTTTATATGAATAATTGTCATTTTTGTCCTTAAAATACCAAAATTTTCACTTAACTTTATATTTTAATCCATCTGAATATGTGATTTTTTAATTTTAAATGATTGACAATTTGATTTGAGACTCAGTACTTGGGTTGAACTTTAACCAAATACTCTTTTACTCTGACTTTAGTACAATTTTTGTGTCCTCTGCCAACTTCTGGTTAAGTCTCTTTAATCTTTTTTGTATTTAGCTAGGCAAATTGATGAAAAACTGCCTTCTGGTGCATTTACAGAAATGTTAATTAATGTGTATTAGCCAATAAATTAAGTCCGTCATTCTACGGAGAAAAAAATAATTCCAAATGGAAAAATGCGCCGGACAGTTTCTAGTCTTCCCAGCAGAGGATTTTGCACTCTGTTTGTCAAATCATTCAGAGAGAGAAAAAACAAGAGCTCCACCTCAAGAGCCCAATTTGAGCTTGTTAAATATCAGGACAGAGTAATTAGAAAATGACTCAACAAGTGTGGTGGGTTTGATCCGCAAAGCTTCTGGAATAACATCCTTTGAACCAATGAGACCAAATTAGAGATGTGTGGCGACAGAAAATTAGCAGAAGGACCTCCGGCCATCTGTTATGCACGGAGGCCGGGTGGCTGATGGGTTTGGTCCCTCAGAGTCCAGCATTGAAGCTCTGTCTGACAGGTGAACCCAAACTGGGCCATCAACAGATTCAGCATGCTTTCAAATGGAAAATTATTATATTCCAGGTTTACACACAAATAACAAATAGAGCTTCTCATGTGGTTTGAGCCTCTGCCTTTCTGTCTCCTTACAATTTTGTTACGTCCCAAAAGTTTACTCAGGCAGAGTTATAAGGAAAGATAATTAAACATAATTCAATGATCTTTGCAGCTTATGAACTTTTCCTGATTTGCTGAATTTTTACTGGGTGTTGACAACGCAGCGTTGTACGCTTTGCAATTAAAGGAGTTGTGGAAATTCAATTATTGAGATCGACTCTTCCTTTTAGTGAAAAGTCTGGTTGCATGAGTGTAAAAAGAAAAAGAAAAACAACAAAAACCTTAACGTTTATTGCCCAAATTTACGCTAATTCAGCCCAATTCCGGAGCAAGTTGTATGAAGGGAGAAGCTAACGGGCGTGGCAGGCCGCTGGCTGCTCGGTCGGGCCAAGGAAGGGCTGGACGTTGGATGTAAAGATAAATGGATAATAATACGTCTGGAATATTCCCTGAACTCCGATCCAGAACCGCATGGCATTCTGGGGGATGTAGGCAGAAGAAAGGATTTAGCTGTTCAACGGCTCCTTTTACGGCTAGCTAAGCGAGGTTGGTGGCGCGTCGACTCTTTGGTTACCTAGCAACTCATTAACTCGTTGGTTACCTAGCAACAACTTGTTTAGTAATTTGCAGCAGCAGTTAAAGGTTCCGCCACCGTGCTTTATGGCTTTATGACTGTTTAAAAACAAAAACAACGGCGCGAAGTGAAAACTGGGTAAAACGGGTAAGGTCATTTTAGCAATATTTCAGATATTTAAAACGACATTTAAAAAAACAACAACGAATCAATACTTATCTATCGACGGATTTGAAAAGCTTATATTCTGATTTTGAGCCATGTTGTCTAGGCTTATTATTATGATTCAACGGTAAGCGATTGAGATGGGGCCTACCTGGTGGTGGAATTACTCTGCCGAATACGCCAAACCATTAAATTCGCGTCACAGGAGTCACGTGATCAACAACCGGATGTTGATACTGATTCAAAGCACGAACATCCATCTGATGTCTTACAGAATCAGGGGTTACATTGAATAATAATAGATAAATATTACCCAAATAGACAATGAAAGTCCTCATAGTTGGAAAAGTTCCGAAGAGTTTGAATATATCAGTTATTTAACCCAATAAAAATGTTTTTGTATCCATTAGTCTCTCAAAAATCCAGTCAAGAGGAGTTTTGTCTTTCCCCAGAATGCATCGAAGCAGGTGAGGAAGCAGTGGAGTAAATCCCTTTGGGTTTCTGTGTTGGGTCGTTTGGATCAGAACCTTGTGATCTGTCTCATAGCCGGGTCCATCCTGAGTAAGTTGGACCGGTCAGTCGACCCCTGTGATGACTTCTACACGTTCTCCTGCGGCGGCTGGTTGAAGGAAAACACGATTCCTGAAGACTCATCGTCCCACGGCATCTACCCCTGGCTGAGGCAGCATGTCGACATCCGACTGAAAGGTGGAGCTCCATCCATCCATCATCCATCCAACCATCATCCATCCATCCATTTGTCCATCCATCCATCCATCCATTCATTCATTTGTCAATCCATCCATCCAACCATCATCCATCCATTCATTTGTCCATCCGTCCATCCATTCATTCATTTGTTCGTCCATCCATTCATTCATTTGTTCGTCCATCCATTCATTCATTTGTTCGTCCATCCATTTATTCATTTGTTCGTCCATCCATCCATTTGTTCGTCCATCCATCCATTTGTTCGTCCATCCACCCATCCAGCAATCATCCATTCGTCCATCCATCCATTCATTCATTTGTCCATCCACCCATCCGTCCATCCATCCGTCCGTCCGTCCATCCATCCATTCCTTAAGTGATATGTCCATCCATTCAACCCGTCCATCTTTCTATTCATCCATCCAACCATTTGTCTGATTTTCTATCCATCCATTCCTTCTTTTTAACAATTCATCCATCCATCTCTCTGTTCAACTTTTCCTCCATCCATCTAACTTGTCATATCAGCCTATCCGCCCATCTTTCTGTCCATCAATCTGTTTTTCATCCTGCCATCTGTCATCCTGCCATCTGTCCATCCATCCAGCAATTTTTCACACATCTCATGTGTTTTTCTGCAGGTTTCCTTCTTCCAATGAAAAGCAGTCGTATAATTTGTAGTTGCTGCATGTTTTAAGGCTATTTTTTATTTTATTTTATTTTTAATCAGGCGTTCAGTCGGCCTGCTGCTGCCTTCCTGAATGGCCCAATCAGCTTTGATTTTTCTCTGGCGCTGACCTAATCAGACTCAGCAGAACTTTGCACATGAAATCTAGACGGAACCAAAATTATTTGAAAAGATGCTAAACTTGAACAGAACCCTGAGTGAAACACAGAGAGATGTCTTGATCAGTTTATTCATAAAGAAATTTCTAATCACAAATTAAAATAAAGCCTTGTATATATTTAATTTCTTTTTTTGTTATATTTTGGACACATGAACTGTTTAGTGATGCTGATTGTTTTTATCCTCCAGAGTTGTTAGAATCTCCTTCAGATGCAAAAGAGCTGCAGGCCGTGACCAAAGCCAAGATCCTGTACCGCTCCTGCATGAATGAAAGTAAGTCGTTACATCATTTGCTTTAAATCCAGACTTTAACTAGGCCACTCCACCTTTGTTTTGTGAACTTGCTGGTTTTTCTTGCATCACTGTTACTTTTCCTAATTTTCTGTGAATACAGCAAGTTGTTCTGGTCCTGGAGAATAAAACGTCACCATGTTTATAGGACATTTTCCACAAAGTCTCTGTGATCGTTGAGTGTTAGAGGAACCTTCTGTTGCTTTTGGTGAATAATCGTTTTCGCAACAGATGCCACTTATGACCAAACTTCCTTCTTGCCCCAAAATATTAGAAATGTTCTTTTTACTTCTTTACAAACTGATAGCGGCACAATTTGTTGTTTTTTCTTTAAAAGGCATACTGGAGGAGCTGGACGCCAGACCGATGCTGAAAATGCTCCGACAGCCCGAGTTTCGATGGCCGGTGTTGGGGGACGGACTCGGCCGGGAGTACCAGTGGTCTCAGAGTCAGTGGAGTCTCCTGAAGACGCTGGCGGAGATGAGGAACCAGCACAGCAAGAGCGTCCTGATCCGCCTCTACGTCTCCCCTGACGACAAAAACTCCTCCTACTACATCATCAAGGTACGACAGTCAGCCATCACTGGTGTTAAAGTCGGTTTAAGTGTCCAGTTTTTTAGACTCTAAAAAAAGACTTGTGGTTTAATTGATGTAAAATATGAGATAAAATACTGTATAAAACATTTTTTTACAGTGTATTTGAGTTTTTACCCTTATGAACTAACCTTTTTGGTTAGTTTTTGCTTTCTTTTAAAGACAACCATTATGTCCAATAAACCTAGGTTTGATGCTATTTGCTTTGAGAATTAGATGCAGGCGAGTCTGATCAGTTTTTGATGCTTTAGCTGAGGAAATAGACGAACAGAGAAACTCTGAAAGACACAGCAGCAGACTTGTTGTTTTTCTGTTCCTGCAGCTCGATCAGGCGTCCTTATCTCTTTCTTCTAGAGAGGATTACACTACAAACACTTCCTCTGCTCTCGGGGTGAGTTTCTGAATCAACTTTAGCTCACCATCAACTAGAACAGATTACATTGTTTCAACCATTCCTGTGACGTGCAGAAAAGATGTTTTGTTTGCCACAAAATTACAAGTTTTTCCTCATATATTTTGTCTTTTTCTCTCCAGAATCGTGCTGCGTTGCTGAGTCTGATGGTGGACGCAGCCGTCATGCTGGGCGCCCCAAAGCAAGCGGCGCAGACCCAGATGGAAAAGGCTCTCGACTTTGAGACCAAAATTGCTCATGTAAAATCAAAATACAAATCAGTTGAATAAATCTGAGATCTAAGAGTTCAGTAAAAACTGTTAATTACGCACCGGGTCCAGCAGTTTCATAAAAAAATGTTTTGTCCTCATATTTTTGCATAAAAATGCTTCTTATTGTACGTGCAGATCCTGATTCCCTATGAAAATCGCACCAGTGAGAACATGTACAACAAATACACGCTGTCTCGGTTGCAGCGCTCCATGCCACAGGTACAGTCACTGGGAAATCCACCTGCAGAACCATTAACTGTCTGGGATCCTGTCATTTTGCTGCAAAGCAACACAAACAACGTTCTTTCACAAATTCCCATAAAAATGTTATGTGTCAACATTTTTCCCCTAAGTGTTTTTTTCGCCAGCCACATTTCAAACGTCAGTTTGTGCAATTCCCAAAAAAGTATGCATTAATTTTCAGAATTTCTAGTCCCTAATACGTAAATAGTTTAATTTAAATAATTAAAGCCTCTCTTTTTAAAAAAGAGAGATAAATAAAAAGTTAGGTTTGTCTGATTGGATAAATTTTTATCTATTTACTTCTGTGGTTTTACATGAATTGCTCCACCTTTGCTAAAACATAAAAAGGGCAACCTGAACATCAACTCTGAGATATCAATAAAACACGGGTTTAAATTAGCTTATCAACCACCGCAGTGTTAGGTTAGCTAGTAGCTGCAGAAGCTAATCAACCGCTGCAGTGTTAGGTTAGCTAGTAGCAGCAGAAGCTAATCAACCGCGGCAGTGTTAGGTTAGCTAGTAGCTGCAGAAGCTAATTAACCGCCGCAGTGTTAGGTCAGCTAATAAATGTCTAAAAATGGAAAAAGATGGGGTGGGAAATATATTTTTTGTTTTAATATGGTTTCTGTAGGAGAACAAACATAACACAACCATTCTTAACATTTTCCAGTGCTATAAAAATGTGTAGAATAAATATTAAGTTTCAACATGTTTGCTGTGTTTCCAGTTTGATTGGCTTGGTTTTGTGAAAGCTGTGGTGGAATCTAAAGATAATCCAAGCCTTTCCATTTCCTCCTCTGAGCCCGTCATCGTCAGAACCCCCAAGTATTTTAAGGACCTCATGAAGCTCATCAACAGCACAGACTCCAGGTACCAACACCTGAGAAACATGAAGACTTGCCATTGTCTTTACCAGGTTATTCCAACAGTTAGCTTACAGATCATCCAGCATAAATTGTTCCTCTTTAGGTTCAAAGACAATAATTTCCATAAAAATTGTGGATTCACTCTGACATATTTATTTTCTTTGACCGGTGACCACAAGACCATTCTCTTGTAAATATTTAATATTTGTCTTTCTATCTCTTTAGGACGGTAGCTAACTACATCCAGTGGAGGACGGTGTTTTCTAAGATCACCACTCTGAGTCGCCGTTTCCTCTACAGATACCTGGACTTCGCTCGGGTTTGTACTCTCAGCACATCTCTGAATTTACTTCAGTAGGTTAGTTGGAAAATAAACATTATAAAGCATTTTTATTTTGCAGATAAATGTCTTGTAGTGATAAAAATACCCAACTATAATGTGGATCAGTGCAGGTGCTGTCAGTTCCAGACCTTGAAAGCTGCCATTTTTCATGTTTTAGATGTTTTTCTGATTAACAGACCTGTTAGCAACAGCCTTTCAATTATATCAGAACCACATTTGTTTTCAAATGTTATAAAATGCTTCATTTTTACAGAAAACAAAACACTAGATCTGGATTTCTTGTTTATTAAAGCTCTAATTTGCCTGATTTTCCATCATGTCTGACACAATGCAGTACCAGGATCCACCAACAGGTGGCTCTGTTTGCCTGGTTACATGTTCATAAAATTCCACCACAAAATTTTCATTTAAACTAAAACGTTTTATGTACAAACGTTAAAAAATATTGTTTTATTGTCACATTTCAAAGGTTTAGGTTGATTTGCTTCAGATATTTACAAACTTTTAAAACAAGCTTAATCCTGAAAAGCTGCAGTGTGTTTTTCTCCAGCAATAAAGAAAGAAATAAAAAATGCATAAACTGCAACTTTACTTAGTGAGTTAATCTGCTGCAGTACCTCATCAATTTACAAAATATTCAGTAAATTGAATATTTTGTCTATCACATACAACCCAAATGAAATGGATTAAAGGTTTTGTTTGAAATAAAGAGAAAACAGTTTATAATTTTAAAGTAGAAGGAAGTGAATATATAGTTTTTAAGATATTCTACAAATAAAACTCAGAAAATATTTTTACAGAATTAATACTTTGTAAAGAAAAAAAAGGAAAATATTTTACTGCACTTTTTCAGTTGAAGGTTTTTTGGTTTTGTCTGCCAGTAAAACAATCTGAAAAGTGAAATTTGTTCCAGTTTTTTCCCAAAAAAATCCTCAAACCCAGTCAGATTGAACAAAGAGTCAAGATTTAAGTCTTAACTCTTAAGTTTCTCAAGTTTCACAGGTTCTCATTTAGATTTGGACTTTGACTAGACCCTTTCAACACATGAATTCTTCAATCTAAAAAGACTTATTGTAACTCATATTGTTTATTAATAATTTAATCAGAGCTAACCCAAAAACTTTCACATGTAAATCTGCAGACGCTTGAAAAGTTTGTATGTTTTTCCTTGAATTAAAATGTAAGATCCGTCGTGTCTTTAAGATCCTAAATCTGAGCTGCTACATTCTGACTCTACTTTCTAAATAAGGTAACTCTAATCAAACTCTGACTCTTGCTCCCCCTTCAGGTCACCACAGGAACTACGTCTCTGACTCCCCGCTGGGATAAGTGCGTTAACTACGTGGAGAACTCCCTGGTTTACGCCACCGGACGGCTTTTTGTCGACAAACACTTCCAGGAGGACAAGAAGCTCATGGTTCTCCAACTCCCTACGTTCTGCAGACATATTTCAGGATGCAGTGATGAGCTTTCCTGCCTTTTACTGACACATTGTGCATTTGTTTTTCTTTTTTTTCACGTTAATCTCAGATGGAAGAGCTAATTGAGGGGATTCGGTGGGCTTTCATCGACATGCTAGAGAAGGAAAACGACTGGATGGACCAACAAACAAAAAATAAAGCCATAGAAAAGGTAAGAAACATTAAACTCAAACGGTTTATACAGATTTATTTTAATATGTGGGACTTTGGTCAAACGTTTTGGGTTTCTTTAGACTTCTAGTTGGAATTTAAATTAATTTTTTCTGAAAGAACTGGAGAAAAACAGAATATGTGAAACTGCGACCATTTTTCTTGAAAATCAGAAGCATTTCATTTATAGATCTTTTGTGTTATTTATACTCTAAAACCCCAAACTTTAGTGTTAAAACCTTGGATGTTCTCTGCCACTGTGTGAAAGCAATTATTGATAAAAAAAGAATTAAAATTGAGAAATTTTTAGGTTAATCTCTTTTCTAAATAAAAAAGGACATTTGAGTTGACAGTTTTATTTTAAAAAACTCAGAAATCATGAAATTAATCTCAATTTTTATAGAAGAAACTTTGAAATTTATGAATCTATCAATAAGTCAGAAATTTGCTATAAAAAACATTTTGGAAATTTGTGAGTTTGAAAAGTTGAAAATTCGCTAGAAAATAAATGAAAATTTGAGATTAATCTCAGAAATTTTATAGAAAAAAACAAAGACATTTGAGTTTGAAAAGTAGAAAATGTTATAGAAAGAAACTTAGAAATTATGAGATTAACCTCAGAAAAAACTTGGATATCTGAATTTTAAAATTTGCTAGAAAAAAATGCTAATTTTGAGATTAAAATGTTCAAATTTTGAAACACAGAAAATTAAGTTGTTTGCTAGAAAATTTTTGATATCAATTTTAAAATTTCTGAGTTTTTTTCTTGGAAATGTTCAACTTTTTAAACTCACAAATTAAAAAGAAAATCATCAACGTTCCTGAAATTGTTTGCAGAAATTTACTCCTTTTCTTGCCATCTACACTGTCTTAATTTTTCAGTTCCATTGGTGAAATTTATTCATTTTCAATGAATAAATTGATAAATGAATGTAAATGAGGTTTATTTTCCTCAGTAAGCCTCATTAAGACGTTTTAATCACATTTAAATCAAAACATTTTTCTCCCAGTTAATTAATCAGAGTTTTTCATATCCAAACATATTTAACGGTTTGTGTTTTATTTTCTCCAGGCTCACGCGGTCCTGCCTAAGGTCGGGTATCCAGAGTTTATTTTGAATGATACCTACCTCACAGAAGACTTAGAGCAGGTTTGAATCGCTCACATTCATTCACGACACTTTAGGTGCATTTAATACAAAAACGAGAGGAAGATAATGGTTAAATAATATTTGGTAAATTGTACTTTTGGGTGAGAGCAAACAGAAATCAAATGGAGTTCTTCAAGGCTCTGTTCTCGGGCAACTTTTATTTTGAATTTCTCCATGCTTCCCACATCGTTTACCATAATTCACTCAACATAACCACTCTCCCGAAACTCAGTGAGAGGATGGGTCAGAGTTCTTGTTTTTGGTCCCAAAACTGCAAATTAGACATCAGAACTCAAAAAACCCAAGGATACAAATGACTACAAATCACATCAGAAACTTAGGTTGAGTTATGGACTCGGTTTCATGAGGCGCCTGACATTTATTTTACTTTTTTTCTGAAAAAAACCATAATAAATAAGCTCTCAATAGTAAAGGAAGCGGTTATTTTCCATCTTGTTTGCTTCGTGAAATGTTTTCAGTCTGTTTTTGCATTTGTCCGTTTCAGCTAGAGTTCAATGAAAAGGATTACTATGGCAACGTGATGCAGACGCTGAAGTTCATCGCCCAATCAGACGTCTCCTGGCTTCGAAGGAGCGTCCCACGCACAGAGTGAGTCTCTGCTACCAACACAAACGGTTTGTCGTCGTTTTATATTCCAGCTGACGCACTTTGTTGTGTGTAAATATATAAATATTTTATCTTTTCAGATGGTTTACAAACCCAACCACCGTGAACGCCTTCTACAGTTCGTCCACAAATCAAATCAGTAAGACGTGATGTGGCAGGAGAAACATGCTCATTAAGGGAGATATTTCTCTCTTCTTGCTCTTTTGCCTGACAAATTGCAAATAAGGTTTCAGACAAAGTTAAATAAACAGTCGACTGATTGTAAGACTTTGTGTTTTTGCAGTGAGGACATTACTGCAAAGTATTTTTGGTTTAGCTTCTAGTGTAAATATCTTAGTGTGCTAGAAATAAGACAAAGCTTAACTTTTCAGGAAGATGCTGGAGATTGTTTTAAGTCGATAATTTCTTAATATTGATTAAAAAGTACTGGGAGATTATTTCACTTATGGGAAAAATGTCTTATAAGTGAAATAATCTGTTAGTAGAGCTTTTTAATCAATATTAAGGAATTGTTTACTTAAAACAATCTCCAACATCTTGCAGAAAAGTTACTTCTAAGTCAGCCTATCGAAATGAGCAATTAATCGTTAATTCAGTCATTTCCGTTTATATGATTTTCCTTCTTCTACCAGAAACTGGATCACTAAAGTCTTCAGTTTGGTGCTTTGGTCTCAAATACTCCTGTTTTAAGGATAATTTTGTCTACAGAGACTTCATAATTAATTTGATTTATTTTGGATATTTAAAATGTCTTTCAGTTCCAGTACTAAATGTTAATTAGAATTTTAAGTTTATTGATCTTCGAGATTATATTGTTGCATTATTATGCCATTATTACCATCATATCATTTGAAAATGGTCTCAAAATGACAATATTATCGTTTATCGCAATAACTTCTGGGACAATTTATCGTTAAGAAAAATTAGTTATCATGTCAGTTCGACTTTTGTCTTATTTCCAGTGTGATAATATATTTTCAGTAGAAACTAAACAAAAATACTAGGTAATATTTTGTGGGGGGTTTTCTGTCTGTTTTAAAGATTTCTGTCATAAGAGAAAATGTTCTGACTTTAAACGTTTATAGAGGCTACCTGGACAAAATCCAAAACAAAAGTGTTGAGTGAAATTCACTTTTATGTATTTTTTTGCAGGATTCCCTGCTGGAGAGCTTCAGAAGCCTTTCTTCTGGGGAAAGGAGTATCCAAGGTGAGGCTAAATAAATCCGACATCCTCTGCTAGCAGAGCAGAGTCGCCTCCTCTTGCTTTATTTGGCAGAAGTAATTGCAGGATTTTCATGACATGAGCTTCTCATAGAAAACCTAACCTGTCCAGAATGCAGAGTCTCATACTTTCAGCTGCAAAGAGCCAGAAATGACAGGGAAAAAGAAAAACGTCCCTACCATCTGCCTGTTCAAGTAGTGAAACACTTTTATTTATTTTAGCCGGAGGTTCGTTTAGCTACAGTTTCTGTTTTAGTGGGGTTAATATAAAATTCTGGCTTCATATAATACCTATATATTTAGTTGCACATTAAAGAATAAAAGATTGTTTAGATATTTTTATCATAGATGCTAATATTTGTGGAGGGCTAGCAGCATGGCTAGCTAAAAACATGCTATGCTGCTGTGCTGAAATCTTCTCTGTATTTTTAATCTTTATTTTAACAGATTGGTCTCCATTTTATACGTATACTGAACTAGTTGACAGTTATTAAAATGTTTTCACATATTGGCTTGTTTTACTTAGTGTAAATGTTAGCTTGGTGGCTAAAAACAAATCATATCAATATTTTTATGTCTTACAACTTCTGCTTTTGTCTAAATGTGATTTTTTTTCCCCCTGATACTTCACGTAATTTTTTTACTTTGTTTGTAACCTCATTTTATCTGTGTGTTTTCCAGGTCATTAAGTTACGGTGCCATCGGGGTGATAGTGGGACACGAGCTAACTCACGGCTTCGATAACAACGGTAAAAGCTAATGGGGCAAAAACACTTTGAACTGAAACAATTTCTAACACATTTGTTTTAGTGTGTGTGTGTTTTTATGTTAAAAAGGCCGCAAATACGACAAAAATGGTAATCTGGACCAGTGGTGGAGTGAGACATCTGTGGCGGCCTTCACCGAGAAGACCCAGTGTATGATTGATCAGTATAATGATTACTACTGGGAAGAAGCAGGTCTAAATGTAAGAAAACAGCTGAGCTTCCATATAAAACCGTTCAAAGTCAATATGCAAATAAGTGTGACTCCATTCTGGTTTTTAGGTGCGTGGTAAGAGGACCTTAGCAGAAAACATAGCAGACAATGGGGGAATCAGAGAAGCATTCAGGGTAACACTTGTATTTCTTGAAGTCTAGACATTTTGAGCTTATTGTGTGCAAAAATAATCACTGCTGTGATTAATCAGGACTGCCTGAAATGAGCCGAACGTAATTCGGCAGTGGGTGAGTGGATGTTTCTTTTTCTGTGTGAGCGTAGGCCTACAGGCGGTGGGTGGACAAGAACAGAGGCGGCGCGGAGGAGCCTCTGCTGCCAGGACTGGAACTGAACAACAATCAGCTGTTTTTCTTGAGCTACGCACATGTAACCACACACACACACACATACTTAATTTATTTGATCATTTATAATCTGTTAGTATCAATCCTGTTTTTTTATAGAAATACAACCTTATATAAGCTGAAGGAGTAACATTATTTCTAAATAATTAATCAATCAATCAAATTTTATTTGTATAGCACATTTCAGCAGCAAGGCATTTCTAAGTGCTTTACATAATTAAAATAAAAACAGCATGTGAGAGAGATTTAAAAAACATAATTAAAACATTAACAGTGAGAAAGAGAAATAAAAAGCTGTAGAACTTTAGTTGAGACGCCTTCAACTGGGACTCCAACCCTTTTGACTTTAGTCAAAACACCGTTTGACAAGGACTCTAACCTCTCTGACTGTTTTTTTAAAGATAAAAACATTAAAATCACCGAAACAATGAGAAAGAGAATGACATTTTGAAAAAGATTAAAAAAGATAAAAACATTAAAACCCGCACCCCTTTGAGGACTTCAGTGAAATGTCGTTTAACTGGGGCTCTAACCCTCTGGGACTTTAGTCAAAAACACCGTTTGACAAGGACTCCAACCTCTAGGTTTTTAGTTGAAACAACTTCAACTGGGACTCTAAACCCCGTAGGACTTCAGTTAAACATCTTTTAACAGGGAACAAAATGAGAACAAAATATGACATTACAATAATGAAACGGAAAATTGCATTGATGACATTTTAGGGTGGGTGTTTTCTATTTACCATAATACATTTCTTACAAGAATTTTAATTTATTGTCGCAATAAATTCCAATTAATGATGCTTGAAGAAAACAAAACTGTCCTTTTTGTAAGG